CAGCCATCCTCTTAAGGACATGACGGCAACGATATTCTCGCGGTGGACAAAATGAAGCGAGATAAAATCATTTATAACGAAACGTTTATCTCTTATCTCGGTTGCCTCAATGCACCTTTTAACAAACAGGGCTTCATCCTTTGCCGGGAAAGGGTGAGGTCCTCTGAGTGAAACTAAACGTCAACGTGATGTGACGTTGCGATTCATGACGGCGCGTAAAACTTTGAGACTGACAATGAATTACGTCGCGGCTCATTTAGCTTTCTCAGTGCACCTATTGTCGTGGCACCGAACGGCCCGGCCGACCGATGACGCGAACTTCGCCAATTGGAATATTTAAAGCCCCAGTACGCAAAGAGAGAAGGAGAGAGAGAGGCGAGCATTAACTACCAACCGAGCTCGAAAGTAATTTTGAGGCTTCCCTTGCAATATGCACGAGGGGATACGGTCGTCTCTGTGCCTCTCGCGCGCTTTTGTACACTCGGCCCTCGGCTATTCATGAGTAGCCACGGTCCCGAGTAATCGTTCTATAACGAACGACGTCCTTTCCTCCCTCGAAAGACTTACAAGAGAGATATTGACATCGAATAAAAAAAAATCAATGGCGTCCATTGATAAATTCAACCTGGCGATATTTTCGCCTCTTGATCACCATACTAATTTCGTAACACTTCGATCCTTCTATTGCGAACGAATTTCGGAATAAGACGCGATCGCATTTAGCAACTGCGATGGGAATACACGCCTTATTGCACAACAGGGAAGTTAACGTCAGTTATTTTAAGCGAACTTGATCAGCGTCAGTCCTATGTTTGATTTGGACATTTAGTTTATATCACTGCGATGTCATGCGGTTGATGGAAAATCGAACAATAGTCAACGCGTTTAAAATTTATGTGATATCACGATGTGTAATTTACAATTTTGACGAATTAAGCGTTTATTTTTAGTGATAATTTTGACACAATCGAGCAATAACTGTCACTATATTTAAGATTTATAACCGCGAGTTATTTTCGAGGAATTTAGCGCGTTCGTTTTTGGTTCTTTTTTTTCCCCATCAGAAAGTCGCAATAATAGAGAGGAAAATCTCAAACGAGTAAAGTCGAATGCGATATGTTCCGAGTTAGAATAATCAAAACTTTAGATCTCATATTTGCATCAAAAGTACTGTTCATTAATTTGGTATGTTAAGCTGCTCAGGACGCTAAGTCAATATTATGTCATATAGCAAATTTGCTTTTAACAGTCTCTCCGACGGCGTACGACGGCTGAATTAAGTAGGTTCCATTGAACGTAGAAAATCACAGAGAAACGAAGTACATCGCGCAGATAGGAGAGGGGGAGGGGAAAAATAAAAGGCCAGAGAAGATCAGGGCGCGTACACGGCTTAACGTCCGCGCGCGGGCTGGTGCTTTACGACCGTGGGATATAAAGTTCCCGCTAATTCCACCTGGCAAACTTTTTCCCAGAGGTACGAAGACAGACAAAAATATCGTCGCGAAAGTTCCTTTGATAAGCGCACCTCGAAGAAGGCGTAGCTGTCTTACCGAAGGGCACTTAATCCCGCGAGGTGAGATTTTGATGGATAAAACCAGCGATTTCCTCGAGACCTCATCGTATCGGCGGTAAACGAACCGGTAGCTTTCGAAGCCTTCGTTTTTGAGAAGTGAACGTGTTCGTGTGTGTTCCAAACTATTTAATCAAAGAACCATCCGTAAACTGTAACCGTTTGTGCGAATTCTTGCAATTTACCAACGGCACAATTATATTGCACATCATAGTATTACTACTGTACGTTCAATAAAGCTACTATTATTATTATTATTACTATTATTATTATTAGGTTATTAAATCTATTACTATACTATTATTACTATTATTATTATTATTATTAGTATTATTAGTATTAGTTGTACAAATTACCATTCAAATTCTAGAAAAAAATATTGTCATTCTTTCTTTGTGATGGTAATGAAATTCAAGAGGTACTTTGAATTGATCTATAAAGTGGGAGGATAAATCGGTGTCGCGAATAAAGTTTGCGTGGCTAAGGTCGCAAAGTGACAAGACGAACTCTTAAATCCGAAATTTTCGATGCAGCTGAAACTTGGCGAACATTCGGAGAGATAGCGAGCTCAGACGTATCTGTTTCATGGAAAAACGATCCGCTAGTCTCTTTCTAAAGACATCCGACATAATTTTGCCTTGCCTCAAATGTTTTCATAAAACGAGGCAAACGTCAGAACGATGTTTAAATAAAAATTTCATAGTGTTCTCGATTCTGTCCTTTTACCGATATCCAATGAAGATATCGGTAAAAGGAAAGCGACATGGAAAGTAAAAGATCGATGCGATAATACCTGATATTTTTCTATCTAAAGCTCGTTTTTTTTTGCACAACAATCGAGAACTTTTTCAACGCGATATTACGGAGTTGTCGTTAGAAATTAAAATATATTTTATTTAAAATAAATTAAAGATATAAAATTACGGACGAATATGAAATATAGTATTTTTCAGCGGACTTAAAATAGATTTGCCTAATAAATAAAAATTTAATTTGAGGCATAATCGCGTAAAGATATAATATTTAACGCTGACGGTTCAATCAGGTCTAAGCTTTCGTCGGGGGGAAAAGTCCTCCGATTTCCGCTTTCCGCAGACGAATCTTTTTTTCCATTTATTTCTTTCTCCATTTTGATAATTTTGACGAACAGACTTGAAATCCGATCCCATCACATAATACCCAAAAGCACTCGGCGCAATAATGGAGCCATCGTGTTATTTCGGCCGGCGGAGAAGGCATACGTGGAGTTTCAAATCGAAACGGTCGGGGAAAGAGAACGACGGCCTGAAGGTGGGGGCCGCAGGCAGGGTGGCATCCCCCGGGACTCCGAAATCCGTTTCTGGGCAAACTGTCTTGCGAGTAGTTCGTCGGATAGTTTCGGATCCAGATTCCCGGGAGTTAAGCCAAACCGCCTTCTCAAGCGAGACGACGCGAGGATCGTTCCCTCCCTATTTCCTGATCTTCTCTTTCCCCCTTTGATAGTGCATAGTGCGACAGTGCGGTCCCGATGGCTGAAATGAGATCCGTTTGCTACTCCTAGTTACTGGAATAACGCACCGAGGCTGGATTTATGACGGCCCGGGTCAAATAAATCGCGGATTATACGACTTGACGAGCACTTTGAGAAGCTTTCTGCGTCCCTCCGGTCTCCTCTCCCTCCGACGCGACTTCTTGGAATTTATCGCCATTTAATCCATTTAACCCTTGCGGGACAATTTATTCGTTATGCGAAATATTTGCATCTTTCATGAGGTATCTATCCTTACACGATTACAGACTGGAATTTTTTTCTATGCCTTTGAGGTGAATCTTTCATTTAAGTGATACTCTCTTATTTGAAATGAAATGAACACGGACTTACTAATTAAAGAACTTTCAGATTGTATGTATATTACTGAACTGACAAAATTGACTTCGGTTTAGTTTGTACTTTATTACTTTTCAAACCTTGAGAACTAAATAGATTCATGTAAAAGAGTTTTTAGAATAATATTATAAATTTATTTACAATAAATTTATTTAGTTTTTCAGCACATTAATATCTTTCTAATATGATGCCTGATTGAGCATCAAATTGTTAAAAATTGCTTGTCAATTTAATTTAATTTGTGATATTATTACAGTAGTTTAATTGCATTTATAAATCCAGAAAACCAATTCGGCACACAGTTCGAATAACTATAAATATAGTATGTATATGTATATGCATGTATACATATATAATATATATTTAATTCACATTGATTATTTAAAGATTTCTAGTTCGTATTTTCTCACATATACGATCTAAAATAAGGTTCTTGTTGTTTTTAGAATAAAAAAAATAGAATAGTTAATTATTGTATATTTTTTTCTTATCAATTCGAAAATAAGAAAAATAAAATCGAAGAGCTTCAAATAAAGTTTATAACAATAATCATCATTGAAATGGAGAAACTCGTGGGATTTAATACCAGCGCCAATTTAACGGGAATTATTTGAAAATTGAATCCTCGTACATCCGAAGGCGAGCCAGCGCATGCAGTGACACTGAATATAAACGAATATACAAGACCTTGTTTCCCAGTTTCACTAATATTCCAGTAGGACATTTTGCCAATCGTTTCTCGCCGCGAGAACGATTTTGAAAATTGACTCGCGAGCGGGAACGAAAGTACTTGTCCTACTCTAATACCGCCGTCCGCGTTATCGCCAAGTGAAGGATACAGAAGCAACCGCCGCTCTCTCTGTTTTTCTCTGTCTTTCTTTTTCGTCCTTTTTCGTTCTTCCACGGGAGGGGTTGAATTACCCTCCTGTCCACCGACAAACCCCGCTGGAAAACTTGGCATAGTCGAGACGCCACTATCTATTCAATTTTCGCCAAGTTGGCGGAGTCGTTGCCAGGAAAGCCGACCAACCAACCGGACGTTTTGTCTTTTCTCGCTTCTCGCGAAAGAAAGATGATGGAAGTCGCTTACAGAAAGAGGGGTGGAAAAGGGAAAAAAAATGTGCGAGAGAAAGAGAGAGAGAGAGAGAGAGAGAGAGAGAGAGAGAAATGCGCGCTTCTCGTGCAAACTGACTTCCTGGAGTTACTTATGGCGTGAGATAGTGAGAAAACGCGTTTCTGTCCGCCAGGATGATTTTTCATTTCGCTCCTTAGCACTGCATTAACGTTTAAAGCGCATTTCTTATTGATCCATTTTCTCTGATTGAGATTATATTTTTGTCTCACTATGTACTCATCAATTTTTATTTGTATACAAAAATACTTTCGGATTTCCAGTTAAATCAGTTAAATGTAATAGAAGTAATATCTTATATATATCAGAGCATTCAATACAAATAAATAAAGCTATTAACTTCAACTGCAGAAGTATCCTGAATCGATTTGTATCAGATACATGGGGAATAAAATAAAAATAATTGGAAGAAATAATCAGTATCATTGCGTTAGGATATTTTCTATATTTTTGACAATACTTATTCATAAATAAATCATGGGGTATCAATTGACGGACAGATTTATTGTAATTATACACTCTGATCTATGCAATAGATAATCTTACGATGCACCGGGAAAAGGATCTACTCTGTTCTTGCGTAGAAGAAATGCGATCTTCCTGTCCATATCCTCGTTGTAGATCGACTTGCACTTCTCATAGTTGATCCTACGTCTGACCTGAGTCGGTTTCTCATAATACCTCGTGCGCCTGTACTGACTGAACAATTCTTCTTTGGACAGTATGCGATTTAATAAGCGGCATGCCTTATCCACGTCGTTGTTCTGAACAAAGATCGTACGGCTGATGAAACGAATGTGCCGTGAAAGACCCATCTGGAAAATAATGTAAAAAGCAACTATAGGCCTGTTGTTTTTGGCTGAACTTTTGCACCAGTTCATCTTTCTTCCTTTTCTTTCTAGAAGGAAAAAAGAGGAAGAAAGATGAACTAGTACAAAAGTTCAGCCAAAAAGAACAGGCCTAATGTTTCCATACTTTTTCTCCATGAATGTTTTACTTAATCTTCAAGTAGGTGGGTGGCTTAGAGATAAGCAAGTTGGTAAGTGCTCAGAACATTACAGAAAGTCCTTAATTTTATAGTTGACATTTTACTATTATGTTATAATTAAATTCACATTGTTACACTGTTATGAGATAGAGAAATGTAAAAATAATGAACTTTAAAACTTTTGGGCTTTTACTTTTTATCTTCCTTTTCTAGAATAAGATTTTAAATACCAAGTACTGTATCATCCCACTTAAAAGGTGATATTCATTTAAAGATTAAAGTTAGAGAATTCTTTGTGTTCAGATCTCTTCATAAAGAAGATAATAGGACATAATAAATGCAAGTACATAACAAATGCTCTAAAAACGTATTAAAATTAATAAAACGCTTGATAAACGTTAGAATTTCTCTCGTTAGATCTACGAGTTTAAGATTATTGACAAATATTTACCGTAGTAGTTCCAATTTTAGGTTAGGTTAGAAGCGATCAATCAAGCTCCGTGCAATCTTCGTTGATTTCGATAACTACAAACACTTTCTGCGCATCCACCAGAGTTAATTACGTTTCTCACTGAAATATGCCGCGAGAAATCATTAATTACTCGAAAATTAATACCTCGCACTCCGGGAATTGGCAGATCCTTTCAGCTGCAGGAATTGTGCGAGTAACGCCATCTAGCGGCCGTCAAGGCGACGACGTCACCTGCTATCGCTCTGCCGATAACCCTAGCAATTACCGATCATTTCCGGTGGATAATCGTAAAATAGTCGTATATGTCCTAAAAACATGACGTTCAGGAACGTAATAATAATAAAATAGACTACCAGGCAATAGGCGATCTGCAAAATAAAAACGACGAGTATTGCAGTAGAGAAATCATTAAAGAACATAAATAGGACGGAAATCTCTGGCAAAAAGTCGTGATGTATATCAAAATAATTTTATTTTAATTTTTAACGTTAATAAGCAGTCAAACTTTTTAACCAAAAATCATCATTTTGACTTTAATGATATCGAAATAAAATCATTTTCTCTTAATTCTTGATGTATTTCTTAAATACTCGCCCATGAATTACTTATGGTAAATTCGATCACTCGCACTACATTAGATCAGTGCATATTAAAAGCTGATTTATGTAAAATATCTCAATGCAACAGTGATACAATATAATCAACTTTGATAATAAAACGATACACACATATTTTGTTAAGGAGATACTGGAGTGACCAAATTATCACATTACAGCTGTATAAAAATCTTCGAATTGATTGAACGGAATAAAAAATCCTTTTACAGGATTTTAAAGTAGACGCAAAATTAAGAGGTGTTGCAGTGGATTTTATATTAAAATCGAAAGAATATCAAAAAATTTTTTAACTTTTTTTCGATTTTAGTACAAGGTCCACTGCACCACCTCCTAATTTTGCGTCTATTTTAATCCTGTAAAAGATTTTTTTATTCCGTTCAGTCAATTCGAAGATTTTTATACGACTGTAATGTGATAATTTGATCACTCCGGCATTTAATCGTTTAAAATATTTATATACTTTTACATTTAACTTTTCTAATTTCATGTAAAGCAGCTTTTAGTATGCACTGATCTAGCGTAGTGCAAGTGACCGAATTTGCTATTATTTACTTCTCGGTCTTTCAGATTGTAGCCGAATCCCCACCGGCAAACGCAGAGCCAGGCGCATAGCGAGAGCAGGAATAGAATAAGAGCAAACGGAGAAGCATATATATGCACGACGAACATTTGTTCATGTTGTCACGGCAGTCCTTTATATCCTTTTCCTTTAACTCCTCCGGGCGATGCATATTTCCGCAAAGATCGTCGTGTCGCTTTCACCAAGCTCGAATTTGTTCAATGAGATTTCGTTCATATCCATCCCGTATTTGCAATTCTTCTTCCCGGCGAACAGCTTCGTGGTCGATTCTGTCAAAAAAAAAACCCACGAAAAGAATGTTTATTATTTTATAAATCCCTGTCGTCATATTTGTCGATAATTCACGTGACATTTTCACGTGCGGTATTAATTACTGGCTTTCACGATGACCTTTTGGAAATAAAAGTCTATTTTTTATTCTTGCATTAAATTTCATTAGAATTTTCTTTCTCATCAAATATCAAACATTTATTTCATTTTAAATTCCGAAAATATACACACTATAAGTTCAGATATGAAAAACAGCTACCTTTAACTGAAAATTTAGAGGAGGTAGATATCCGCCAAATGGAAATTTACTTATTTTAAACAACAAGATTTCACAAAAGCAACTAATTTCGTTTCTGTTTTTTTTTTGCAATAAGTATTTAAAATTTCGTTATATTTTTGACAAGACAATGAAATTGGCAATGATTGTTTGATCGATAGTTCGCTGTAGTAGCATGGGGATAGATAAGAACTTCTAACACAGACGAGTAAGAAAAGGACTCTCTTCTTTTGACATTCTGAGATCTTGAGAGAGAATTTATCGCAAATTTAATGCTCACCGTAAAAGATGCCTCCGAAGAAAAAGAAAGAGATCGTGCCGACAAAAGAGGTTGTGCAGGAGTTGGAACGTACTGAGTAAGCAAACGGACACGAAATCACGTGGGGACGAATCATCCTAAAAATCTAGTTACGTTTTCGTTATTGTTGATTTTATATTCTACAATTATTAATTATGTACAACGTAATAATTTATAAATACATTTATAATAATTTTTAAACAAGCTCGATTATATTTCGAATCTTTTATGTTTTTTTTTTTTCCGAAGAAGTGGAATGGGATTTGGAATATCTTTTAAAAGATAAATAAAAAATGTAGGATTAAGCGATATTAGGTCCGTTTACGTAGACCAGAGCCGGAAATCGTGGAGACAGCCGAGCCGGAACCCCTGAAACAGGTGTCTTTGCTCACCGGCGAACCCTATGGACCTCGAATTCGTCTTGTCAGCGAAAAAGCCGAGGAGGAGAGCTCGGACGACGAGCCAGAGTCCGAGAACGAGGAAGAGGCAAGATATCAGGAAGATCACCCGGAAGTGCCTTCCGAATTCTGGCACATACAGAAACTCATCAAGTACATGAAGGCTGGCAATCAGACTGCCACTATGGTGTCCCTGTGTTTATTAAAGGATTACGATCTCACTGACAAGGTCCGTTATATTTTTATTAGAAGATTAAATTAGGCTGCAAGAAAAAAAATGTCATCTATATTATCTAACAAAATCAATAATTCTAGCAGATTTATTCTTTGTTTCGATATTCCATTTACATCAACTTTTTTTTAATTCTTTAATTTAAAAAATAATCTCTCTGTCTCTCTCGTATCTTCACACAATCGATTATTTTATAATAAATATATTCGTGGTAGTGCAGATCATTCAAAAGGCTATTCAAGAAATGGGAGGTCTCGAAGTTTTAGTGAATCTTCTCGAAACGAACGACATCAAGTGTCAAAATGGCTCATTATCAGTCCTACTACAAATTGCGACTTCGACGGAGATGAAGCGATATTTAATTGACTTGGACATTGCAACGCCATTGATACAAATGCTGAAGCATCCCGCCAGAGATATCCAGGTCGTTCACCTTTGTCACAATAGCTCCTTCATTTAATTAATTAATCGGCCTAACTGTTTTTATCCGCCGTGCGCGAAGTATTTAATTTAGAATCTGATTGATTTGTCAATCAACAAAATGTTCGTCAAATTAAAACTGTTAAAGTCCCAAAAAGTTTGAAGCTAATTTCTATTTCAATTATTTTTTCATACTTTGTTTCATCGTGTTATATAATGTTAATTTGTAATCCTTGCAGATTTTGGCAGCCGAAACTATGGCCATTATAGCTCGAGTTAGAAAAGCCAGAAAACAAATCAGAATTCGCGGTGGAATACCGCTCATCGTAAGTTATTCAGTCACCAATATTCGAATAATAAAATCCAATTGCACCAACGTACTTTGACTTTAAGCGAGGTTTAAAACTCTCATTTTCTCTCTTTAAAGATGAAAGAGAGGAAGAGCTAGAGAGAGTTTTAAGCCTCGCTTAAAATTAAAGTAACGTTGGTACAATCGAGCCTAATACCTGTTTCTACCAATGTAGATTAACTTTAATCTCGGTTTAACTTACTCTTCATCTTTATCTAATTCTTAAACTAGAAAAAGACGAAGAGTTATAGTTGAACCGAGATTAAAATTAAACTACATTCGTAAAAACGGGCATAAGACAAATAAGTTAAGTCTCAAGACTATTTCAAAATTGCTATGTATAAAATTTCAATCTCTAGTACATACAAACGATGATATATTCCGATCCTTTACTACACATGATGAATTATTCGTATCCCAGATTTATTTTTATCGCTTTTATACAAATATATAAAAATTAGCATATTTTACATATACTTTAAAACATCTTTAGAATTGAATTTGTAAAATTGTGTATTTAAAAAGGGAAAAGAAAGGATAGAGACTGTTATTTAGTCAGATTTTAAAAAACTTAGCATTTAAAAAAAAGAAATGCGCAGAAAAATGGCAAATGACTCGTGTGTATTGAGAACTAAATATAATTTTTTTCTCAATATGAACAGCATGATAATTTATTGATTCTTTTTGTTGATAGCTGGACGTAATGGATGTACCAGACGAAGTTCTTCGTCGGTCATACGATGAATTAAGCGAGGCCAGCAAAGAACTCGTGGCCGTCGCCATAGGTTGTGCCAAGGTTTTAGATTCTTTAGGCAGCAGTCCAAAGGTCAAGGAGGAACTTCGTAAACATGGTGTTGTTCGCTTGATGTCGCGTTTTCTAAAATCGAAACACACTCAGCTAATCGTACCCACGATGGGCGTCGTGCAGCAGTGTGCTGATCTGGTTTATTGAATTTTATTCGTTATCTATTAATAGCGTTAATTAAAATAATTTAATCTATCAATAAAATAATTTAAATCAATTTTTGAACAACGCATATATAGAAATTATGAAAATGATTCGTGGAAAACACAGTTACCATTATATTAATAATAAAAAACAAGTTAAATATCATGAGGTTTAAATATCAGGTCTCATTATCCCGGATTGTCATTGTTATTCGAAATTTATGTCGCATTTATTAAAATCATAATTAACTAAACTATCTATTTTCAAAATTTCATTATAAATATTCCCTTGCAGTTGTGTAGTGCCAATATTTATTGGCGCATCTGTAGAATGTTTTCAGAGAGGCATTTGAGCGAGTGGGCATCATCAACGACTTGGTGCGACATTTGAAGAATGACAACGTGAAGCTGAAGGAGAACTCTGCCTTGGCCATCTTCAAATGCGCTTCGAATCGGGAAACTCGAATGATGGTGCGTCGAGCTGGTGGTCTGGACCCACTTTGCAAACTCGTGCAGAGCGAGGAGGTGCACGCCAATAAGCGCCTGCTGGCCGCGGTCACCGGCGGCGTCTGGAAGTGTGCCATCAGTCCCGAGAACATAATGAGGTTCAATCAGAACGGTCTGGTAGCGTCGCTGGTGCCTCTGCTCGAGGAAAACGAGGATGAAAGGGTGTTAGCCAACGTCGTAGGCGCCCTTGCCGAGTGCTGTAAGGATCCCACTAACAGGGACGTCTTGAAGATTAACGAGGGTCTACCGAAACTGGTAAAGACCGTTCAAAGTCAAGAGTACCTTCTATCTGTACTTTTCTTCTCTCTCTCTCTCTCTCTCTCTTTCTCCTTCTTCTTCTTCTCTCTCTGGACCAAACTTTGCTTATCTGTATATCGAATTCTTGCTTGTACATTAGGATTATAGGAAGGAATATATATACATAGATCAGACCTGTCCAATTTAAGTTCCGGAGCCAAAACGCAAAGCGATCGACGCAAAAAAATTTTATGTGGGTAAGATTTCGAGGACTGTCAAGTGTTGATACTCATCTAAGTAACACTTATCAATACTTTATAGTTCCTAAAATCTTACATTGAATTTTTTTACGTCGATGGCTTTGTGTTTTGGCTTCGGAGTTCAAATTGGACAGGCCTGATATACAATAGATGATCTCAAAGATGATGTAACGCCATGGAGAATCGAATATTTTTTTCTTATCCGAATAAAGTAACTTTTATGTACGTAAAAATAACTACTTGGATCAATTATTTATCGTGTCTTGAGTTCTAATAACTAGAATATTGTAAAATATTGTAAAAAGGGAAAAATTATTTTAAAAACTGAACGTGTTATAGATAGTAAAGATCTCTCCCACATTCAGAGCGAATGTTCAGATCGATATAATAAAATCGATAGCAGTGGTTCTTTTAATGATCCTCGAGCAATTACTAGATGAATTCTCATCATATATGTTAACAATTTAATGATTATCAATTATCAATTTTATTGGAATATAGCTGCATTGACCCATTTAACTTTAATTATCCTATTGGAGTTTATATGAGAGATAATTTCCAAATGAAGCGAAAATTGGATTGTGTATCGGAAGGTTTGCGAGTACTATTCTCGATGATTAATCGAGTTAACGTGCGCTACACCATTCCCATGACGATCGATGTTTCCTCGTTACTCCAGTATTTGCGATACCGCAGAATGAGTGCTTCAGGGACCTTTGCAGATTAGACTATTGAGCGCCACGTACGAGCCATTATTAGAGAATAGAGTGTGCTGTCAATGAGAAATGCATGGACATTATCAACGACTCGGAGCATCAGCTGGACGGCGTGCGATTAGTCTGGTCCCTGCTGAAGCATCCCAGTGATGTAATCAAACGTAACGCTTGTCTCGCCTTGGTACCCTGCATCCGCCACGCCAAGGATTCCCCTGAGATGGTGCGCGCCTTCGTAGGCGGCTTGGAGCTCACAGTCAGTCTCCTGGAGAGCAAAGACACGGAAGTGCTTAGCGCGGTCTGTGCCATGATCGCGGAGATTGCCACCGATCCTGAGAACCTGGGCATCCTGACGGATCACGGCGTCGTGAAGAAATTGGCCGCTCTCGTGGAAACTGTTGGTTCAGCACTGCTTATGATGATTTCTGTTTAAAGTATGCTGCTTTATGGAAAAGAGCTTTTAATAATTAATATATTAGCGAGAATAAGAGTTCTTATTTTTAAAATATTACAAACTAAATCAATGTGAACAAATAAATGTTTTATGAAAATCTTAAATTTTTTAATTAAAATTTTTTTAACGTATGTAATAAAATATAATGCGCACGTGCCAGTGCGCTCCTCAGATATAATTTCTCATCTCTTTTCTATTAGATTAATTATTTAATTATGAT